CAAGTCAACCTCCCTGATGCAATTTTGACTGCAAAATTGCAGGATGGTCAAATTGGTGGAGGTTGAATTGCAAGGTACCACATGTAACTAACCTTACTTCAACAACTGTTCAACACATTTTCACCACATCACAAAAAATATATATCTCACTTTTGAAAACAAAATTAGAAAATATTTGTTTGATTAAGGAAAGCTTTTATATTTTTTTCAACTTCAAAGAATACAAATTTCCATCTTTCTCATGTCCTCATCTATTAGTTTGTATGTTATAAATGGTTTCAAATTAAATCTTCAATGTGGTGCCCACATATAGAAATGTTCTGTATATATGCAATAAAATATTTTTAAAAGAAGCTCAGGGTGACTTTAGAAAAAGTTTTTTGTGCAGTATACCCCAAGGATTTGTCACAGCATCACAGGTGAACATTAGTTTGATTTTTTAATAATTTTATTTGTAAAACTTTGGCATGAACCCTATTCATAATTTTTCAAAAGAATTGTGAATGAAATATCTTGCCCACTTTTTTACATAGAGATATTCATATACTGTAATGCACTGTATTATCAATAACAGAGGAACTATTTCAATTTATGCACGAACTCTTTTGATTTTGAGTGTGTGATTGATGAAATCATGGCTTAACTGTACTGTGTATACACATATATCTTGAAAATTAAAATTTTAAACTAGATTAAATGTAATCTAGAATTTGTGCACATTATGCAGATCATTTAATGAATTATACCTTTCTCAGACACAGAATATTTTCATTATACTTTACTATATTTTCATTGCTTTGCATTATATTTGCTTCACTTTCATCCTGTGAATTTTCTAGAGAAAAATTTTACTCCTTCAGTCAGTAACAAGGGGCTTCTGGAAAGTCTGACTACTGCCCTTAAAAGAATACTGTAGTTATTTGCTTGACCAAAAATGAAATTGAATCAGTTACAAAAATTGGTAATACACAAAATTTGTAAATTCAGCTCAGTTTATGCCAGAATATACTTGTAGGAGGGCTGCAAATGCAAACATTTTGACAATAAAAACTTTAAAAAATATCAATTTATTGTGGCCCAGGAAGATTTGATCATCAGTTGGACCCTGTTGCCAATTTCAGCCTTTTTAAGTTTAAAAAAGCCTTCTGAATTGACATTTTCAAAATGAAAATCCCTATTTTGGTCTCATGTATGCAGATGGTACCTTGCAATTTGACCTTCAACAATTTGACTTTCCTGCAATTTGACGGTAAAATTTGCTTGAACGTTGACTTGCAATTCAATCTCTTTTCCAAAATTTGACCTGTTTTAGCCCCTTATCTAGGGTTTTTGTGCTGTTTGCCATTATTGATTTCATAGAGTGTCTCACAATTTGATCATCATGCAATTCAACCTTAGTTTGGCAATGGATTAGGGTCAAATTATGTATACAGGTGGTACCTTGCAATTTGGATTTGACCCTAGTTTGGATCAGGATCAAATTGCAAGGACCAAAAATAAAATTGAATCAGTTAGAACAACTTTAAATACACAAAAGTTGTAAATTCAGCTCAGTTTGTGCAAGAAGATGCTTGGTGTACTGGTACCTTGCAAATTGAATTCAACCCTAGTTTGGATTAGGATCAAATTTTAAGGTACCACCTGTTGCAGTCACTATTTCAGGCATATTTTTAGTGTAATTCAGTAATAGAATTTCTTACACATGAACAAAAAAATTTTTATTATATACTTTATACAATATATAAATGATAATTCATTTAATTAAGCAGAGGTAATTTCATTTCAAGAACTCACGAAAAAGCCTCGGATTCTTCCACCACCTGCAAACTGCGGCTTTGCTTCGCTCAGAGCAACCATTGCCAAAATAACTGCAAACGCCGTCAAACATTTCGCGGAAATAACAGTTCTCGCCATTTTCTCTCTCTCTCTCTCTCAAATATTTTTTTTCCTTGGCTCTCTCTCTCTCTCTCTCTCTTTTCTCCTTGCTTTTCCACACACTGTGTATATGCTCTCTGAAGGCGAACTGACTGCTCATGAAGGTATTCCCCGCAGCTTTAAAGCTGCTTTCCAACAACTTCCTGAATCGAAAATCTGCCAATCATCTCCAGAGCCGGGGCTTGCTCGCAAAATAAATATTAAAAAACGAAAATAAAATAAAATATTTCGCTGTGGAAAGACGGCGTCTTTCTCAGCAGTCAGTTGGGGTTACGCAAGGTAATGAGCGACAGAGAGAGAGAGAGAGAGAGTCTCAAGAGGGTTCTTATATATTTGAGGGAAGGAAAGGGGGGAAAAATAAGAAAGGAGAATCGGTGTTCTTAGTATATGGGGCAGGCAGTTATATTGAGAAAGGAAGTGCGAGCATGACTGAGGCTGTGGATTTTCCAGAAGGAAAATATTACTATTTCAGTCACCGCCTTTACCCCGAAGACCTTTCAGATAGGTATAAAAGGTAAAAATTTTTTAACGTTTTTTTTAATAAATACGAGTACCTACTAGAATTTATTGACAACATTTAAGTCAAGTCAAATACGTTTATACATATTAAAAGCTGTAAAGGCAGAAATTTGGACTTTAACAACTTTTAAAAATGAATTTGAGGCCCAAACAAAGGATTATGATTTTATGACATGACTGGTATACATGAGACGGCATTGAAAAATGTCAGGTAGGAAGATTTGACTTTAAAAGTTCAACTGTTATTGATACCGTCAGGGTCGTTTTACCCCGAAGACCTTTCAGATAGGTATAAAAGGTAAAAAAAAAAATTGCAAAAAAAATTATTTATGCTCATGGATGATCTTAAATAACTGTTGTAAATTCAGTTCAGTTTATGCAAATATGTATATACCATATGTACTCTGCCGTAACTTTTTACAGTCCATCCTTCTAAACTGAAATTTTCAAGTTGACAATAACTATGGCAGTCCCAGCAAAATGGGGCTTCTGGAAAGTCTATCCATATTTTCCATTTTTTTTAAATTGCAAAAAAATGTATTATACTCATGGATGATCTTATATACATGTTGTAAATTCAGTTCAGTTTATGTAAATATGTATATAAAAGCTGTAAAGGCAGCAATTTGGACTGTAGCAACTTTTAAAAATGTATTTGAGGCGCCCAAACAAATGATTATGATTATATGACATGCCACCATATGTACTCTGCCATAACTTTAAGACTTTTTACAGTCCATCCTTTTAAACTGAAAATTTTAAGTTGACAATAACTATGTCAGTCCCAGCAAAATGGGGCTTCTGGAAAGTCTAGCCATATTTTCCCTTTACAAATTGCAAAAAATTAATTATCCTCATGGAAACTGATGTTAAAAATTTTGAAAATTCAGTCCAGTTTATGCAAATATGTATATAAAAGCTGTAAAGGCAGAAATTTAGAATGTAGCAACTTTTAAATATGAATTTGAGGCCCAAATAAAGGATTATGATTTTATAACATATATGTCACCATATGTACTCTGCCATAACTTTAAGCCTTTTTACAGTCCATCCTTCTAAAATGAAATTTTCAAGTTGACAATAACTATGGCAGTCCCAGCAAAATGGGGCTTCTGGAAATTCCGACAACTTCAGCTTGGAAAACATTGGAATGTGCTTGACCAAAAACAAAATACTGTTGTTATGAAAAATAACTCATGCTAAGATTTTGTAGATATCACTCAAGTTTATGTAGATACATAAATGAAGGCTTCAAAGGCAACAATTTTGAGAGTAACAATTTAAAAAAATCCATTATAAAGGCCCAAAAATATTTGACAAGCAATTTAATGATTATATACAGCACAGTTGGACCTATAGCCAACTATTTTTGAGCCTTTCAAGTCAAAAATCTTTTGATATGAAATATCCAAGATGAAAATTGTTATTTCAGTCACAAAAAAGGATTCTGGTAGGTCTGAACACTTCCCTTGAAAAAAATTCTAACTTGCTTGACCAAGAAGGAAAACAAATTAATTATTGTCATGTAAACTGATGTTAAGAATTTTTTAGATTCAGTTCAGTTTATGCAGGTATATAAATAAATGCTCCAAAGGCCAAACTTTTGAGAGTAACAATTGAAAAAATCAATTTGAGCAGGGACACTCAACATGCCACTGAATGTTTATATACAGTTCTGACTACAGGCAACTTGCACCTTCCTAGCAAGACAAAAACCTTCTGAATTGAAATTTTCAAGTTAATGCCATGGCCAATTTTCTCAAATCCAATGCCATTTAAATATCTTTGTCTGAAAAATAATTGGATCAGACCTCAGTCACCAGAGTTTTAGGACCTTCTTAAAATTGAATTAGTTACAGTATTAGAACAACACCTGCTCATAAAGAAAAAACATTTGGGATTTTTCATAAAGAAAAAAACATTTGGGATTTTTACATAAAGATAAAAAATATTTGGGATTTTTTCATAAAGAAAAAAAACATTTGGAATTTTTTCATAAAGAAAAAAAAACATTTGGGATTTTTTCTTTATACTATCCACAAGTGATTATAAATCTTCCTACAATCAGGAATTCAGTTTTAATAATTTGGTAAAAAATTATTCAACCTAAATTAAGAAATGCAGCCAACTTGAAAAATCTCCCAATTGAATCTTGCTTCAGGTCTATGCATTTTATTTTATTTTTTGCTGAAGTTGATTGCGTTCCAGGTCATTCAACAAAAACCGGCAAAAACTGGAAATTTTCCTCAGGATTCAAGTGCATGAATCATCAACTTTCGCGTAATTTTATCCCAGTAATTTGAACTACTGTATCTTGATAGGCTCAGAGAAGCGCATCCGCATTCCAGTTTAATTGTGAAATACTTCAGTTTTAGTTTCTGTTTTATTTCAATAAATAAAAAATATGAGTCACCTGTATGGACACCAAAATTTAATACATTCATTGAA